CAGGGGCAGAGGGGTGGAAGGAAGCGGCTCTCCCTCAACACCGGACTCATGGTCCCTTCAGGTGGCTGCACTGGCCACACAACCGTGCCTGGGAGAGGCAGAAGTTTTTGAGGTGGTGTCGCGATGTGTGCAGTCGGTAGTGCTGGTGGTGCTGTTTGCCTTCCCTCAGGGCTGCACCTTCCTTGGTGTGGGGCTGCTTCTCTGGGGCAGCTCCCGCACTCCTCCTAGGCTGCTCTCACTGCCCACCTGTGGCCTGCATGCTCTTAGAATCTTTTTTTTTAAGATTATTTAAAAATGTATTTGTTTGTCAAAGCTGGGTCTATACCCCAGCTTTTGCGAAGTTCTGTTACTCTCAGGGAGCTCAAAAAACCTCAGTCAGTGTCCGGGACCCAGGCTGGGGTAGTGCTGGCGGCCATGCAGCCATAGGGCCCAGCAGATGGCCTCAGAGCTGCTGCGAGGTCACCAAGGTGGTTTTCAAGCTAAATATGGGGAAGGAGCAGGAATTGCTGCTGCTTTTCCTCATGAAAACCTGGAGCCAAAGTTGGACAAGGTGGCTCCGTGCACCCCACCATGAGAGCAAGTGGGGATCCCGCACTGCCTTCTGCACTACTCATTTCAGCCTGTGATGAGCTGATACAAATAATTGCAGTATCAGAAAAAATACTCCTTTTTTCCTGTTGTTTTCTGTCGGCTTAATGATCTAAATAAACTTCCTTAGTGGGCAACTCAGTCCATGGAAGAAACAAGAGAGGATATTTTTTTCATCAGGGAAAAGTCATTAGGTCAGCTCAGCCTTGTTATCTAGTGGTGACCCATGTTGCTTTTGAGATAAGTGAAGATGTTCCAAACTTGCACTGGAGTAATGAGGAAAAAATATGGCTGAAATACAGCAATTTCTGTAAGAGGCTGCTTCATATAATGAAAATACCTTTTAATTTCCAAGAAGCACTTCACAACTGTTTTTGTTTTTGTTTTTTTCCTAACAACTGTACACATATATTAATTAATCATTAGAAGAATAAGAAATTTGTATTAAGTGTTGATGTAGACAAAACAGAGAAATGAAAACCTAAGATCCCATCCATGGAAGAAGATAAAAGAAAACACAGGAACTCTCTGAGTGTCTCAGTACTGGATAGGATTGCAGTTAAAAATATTTTTGTGTTAGTTGTCCTTGTTTTCTTCCCAACATGCTTCTTTCCAGACCATGAAAAATTTTCTGAGAATTAGAGCTCTTTCACCATAAAAAGATTTTTACTTTTTTTCTTATCTGTGTATTTGAGAGCAGTATTAGGCAAGTCACTTTTGGTAGCTGCCTCCAGGTAACACAGACAGCTGAGCACGTGCAATATCATGTTAATTCAGGGCCAGAACTCTATAGCCTCTCTTACTTGATTATGCAGTATAACTGACTAACAAACTTACATGTGTTTGGTTTATAGAAGTACTTATAAAATTACAGTGTTCATTGAGGGACACTTACATTCTTGTAATTTTATTTGTAGATGTCGGGAGATCAGCATGTTGATAACTCTACTCAAGAGAGAGGTGATGAAGATCATGATGACGTAGTTGATGCAAGGCCGGACAGAAGTAGCAGATTCTCACTTTTTGGAAAGTAAGTTACTACTTTTATTCCTGTTATGGTTGTATCAGCTGTCATACTACCCTTCTAATGGGATTTTGGTGTTCAGTTTGCCATGTCATAGATGGTCTGGAGAGGGAGATGGTTTATGTTGTATAGGTTTAATGTATCTGGTCTGTACCTTAAAGTGTCTCTCTGTAGTATCTCTCTATGGGGAGACGTAGAGTATCTCCCATAAGCTTTATTTGGTAGCAAAGAGACCACTAAGTTCACTTAGCATCAATTATACTCCTTCATCTTAAACATTACCCTTTGGTGGAGGTGGGAATTAAATACACCATTAATTATCTATTTTACTACATTCAGCTCAGCTAATCTCTGGCATCATTGGAATCCCCTGCTGATTATTTCAGTTAGTTTATAGCCTGGATGTGCCATCTAGGTTGTAGCACAAAGAAGCCTCACTGAGTCTAGAGATGTAACCCATTACAGAATAAATTAAAAGCCTTTCATTTTAAAACATAGTAGTCTCACTGAAGCATAAGCTTACTTTCGTTAAATGTATAAGAAGCAAGAACTATTTACTGCTTGTTTTTACTCCTGAAAGCATGAGATAAATGTGGTTGCAAATGCAAAAGATGAAAAATGAACATGCAAAATTTACAAATACTATTGAATATAAGCAGATGGCTACTTCGCATTGTGAACTTCATGGATTTTGAGAGATTTAATTAGAGGTGTTTATTACGAACACTGTTGTATTTACAGAGAGGTTTTGATTCTTTTGTTTCTACTATTGGACATTCACATTCAAGTGAACAGTATAATTCAGAGAAAGTACATAGAGAGTGTAATTTTCTTTTTTTCTGCTTATTATATGAGTAATGGGGGTAACATCTGTGAGAGAGGTGAAGATGCTTTAGTCTTAGAAGGCTTTCAATGTACTGTTAAGCAAATCGCTTTACTATTTCTGTCTCATTTTATCATTCCTCAAATATGTCTTATGACTACGTGTGTTATTAATTTTAATAGAATCCTATCATGCAAAATAGGCAAGGTAACATTGTTTTAAAGTCTTGCTAAACATTTTTCAAAGGTTTCTTTTAAACTTTTAAAAATATGTGTTTTAATGTCTGAATTGGTCTTTTTAAGAGGTGATATGCTAATACTATTATTAAATTATGCAACTCAAAGTTAATCATTCCCAAAGGAAAGGCAATAATCAGCATTTCTATCCCTTTTTTCTATAATAAATTTTTCAAATAATTTGGCTATGCATCAGTTTGAGACATTCATCTTCAGGGAACTCCTTGAAGATACAATTTGAAGCATTTTTCTTTAGAAGTAAAAAAAATTGCTCAGATTAAATATGAGGTAATTGAGAAGATCCAACTTAGATTTTGTAGAAAAAAAACCCAAGTCTGATGAATCTATGAGACTTTCTTGAAGAAGGTGATTATTGCCTAAAGAATGAGCTGGTTGACAGGGAAGGTCTTAAAAATCCAAGCACAGTGACAAGGTCTTCGTCTTATAGAAACTAAAACTCTTTGGCCTGAAGGAAGATAGGAGAAGATTGTGAGAGGATAAAGGAAGATGAGATATGGTCTAAAATTGTGACTGTAATGGAGGAGAAAGTGAATAGAGAATGATGATTCCTTGTGCCTCACAGGAAATCTGGGGGACATCCAATGGAAGGTTCATGCAGTAGGTTTAAAACAACCGGTAAGATGTAATTTTCACATAGTGCAAAATGCAATTGGCTTAAAAGTCATAAGATATGCAGAGGTCAGGATTTTAGATGAGTTCAGAAGAGATTAGATGTATTTGTGGAAGAAAAGTCCTGTGGGAATATTGATGTTAAAATCTTTGGTGCAAAACATTTATAGATCAGGTTTCTGTATGAATATATTCTGTATTCAGTTTCCTTTGGTTTTGGTTTTGGTTTGGGTTTTGGTTTTTTCTTCTTAAAACTCATTACTAGTCAGTAACAGATCCTAGGCTAGAAGTACTTTTAGATGAAAACAGCATGGCTCTGTGTTTTGATTGCCAAGGCTTCATTTTGGCAACATGAAATTACTACCTGTAAAATAAGATGTCTAGAAAGCTTTGGATTGACTACAATTTTATGGTCCCTTGTTTTGTATTTTTGCAATCTAGTTTTTACCAGCAGTGCAGGACTTTCAATGAAATTCTACATTGTATTTCATTTATTATTGCTCAAAATAGATAAGCACACTAGGAAAACAAGTAGCTGGTACTGTTAAATAAGCACATTAATTTTAATTTAAGAGAACAGACCAGTGAGAAACTGAATTCAAAGCTGTGCAGCTGTTTCCAGTAGCTTCACAGCTCCAATTGACCATTCTGGCTGTGACTGGAGATTTATCTAGCAAGAACAGTAAGAAGAAATAAGCAGAATCTTCTTCACTGCAGAATGTTTCTCTCTGAGAAGTCTGTGGCCTTGCTTTACCGTGGGGGCCACAGGCCTCAGAACAAGCCACGGAGTGGGCAGGTTCTTCTGGCTGCACCACAGTTTAGGGGAATTATCTTTTCTTTGAAAAAAATCAAGTACTTAGGTAATGTAGAAGGAAAAAACTCTGGTGGGGAAAAACGTTGAAAGAAGTAAGTTTTGAGTTCACATCTGCCGCTGGTGTTTGGTTTAGGGGTTCGTAGCCACTAGATGGCAGGAGGATATCAATTTTGCATACTGCAAAAATGTGGACAGAAATTAGGGAGAGTTGCAGTTGTGCAAAAAGTTATGTTTCGGAAAGCAGAAATAGCAGCATACACTCTGGACAGCCTGCATGCAAGAAAATTTTTATACATGGTTAAACAGAGATTGAGCTGAGGATTTCAAAAGCTTATTTTAATTCTTTATGTGATAGTTAGAAACTAATAGAATTTTTCCCACAGAATTTTTTCTTTTCTATGCCGTATGTGTTCCTGTTACACTTTCAAGGCTTTAAAAGTAGTCTCACTTCCCCACAGGATGGTTTAATAGCTTCATTTGCTTTCTTTTGTCTTTTATTGGAGCACTCTGTTAGCAAGACTGATAGCAGCAAACCTATTAGAATTCAGGAAACAAAGTAACATGAAATGGAATAAAATTATGGTTCCACTGTGTTAGGTAAAGCTAAGATTTCTCTTACTCCTAATGAAAGTTGAGATTTTTTTTTAAAAGCTGCATCTGAAAATTCCCAAGGCTTGGTAGGCTGGCACTTGTACTGTCAATAATCGTAACTGTGGGCTTCAGTGAAGAAGCACAAAGCAGAAGAGCGTGATTGTTAGTAGTATATAGGTGCCAGTTTTATTCTCATTTACTTGTATAGAACCATTTGTTCTCTTCACTTTTATTTACTCTAGCCCTAGTGTCTTGTTTTACAGCCAATATTCTCCTCATCTGGAAACAGAAAACATAATTTGAATATATATATTTAAGAATTCTTACAAGTACACTTACATTTCAAACCGTGTGATTCTGTAGTGCCATTAATGCAGAACAAATAATATCTCATGAACCATCTGAAGTTATGCTCTGGGCTGCAACTCAGAGTTCTGAATTAAACTCCTGGTTCAGCCTCAAGTTTCCTTTATATCTCAAAGCAAATCACTGTACACCTTAGTCTATCCTGTAAATGAATTATGATCTTTCCTTTTACTATCCTAGTTCCAAAGTCTAGCACAATATAATTTTAATTTTATTTAGAGTTTGTGGTTTCTGCTTTGCACAAGCTAAATATCAGTGTGTTTTCCTCCAGAGCAGTGAACATACAATTTCAAGAGCAATTGGTCCTGGCATCTATAGTCCGTTAATGTTAATTCCTACAAAGACAATAAAGAGATTTTAACATAGTGCAACAAGGATGTTTCATTTTCATTAACCTCTTTTAAGTCAGAGGTTGTTTTTTTATTTTTTGTTAGATCTAGGACTCAGCTTCTGAAGAACACTGCAGGAGCATTTAACGGTTATTGAAAATTGTGTTCCCTGCTTGTACTTTCCCTTAGTCACTTACTGGAAGTACCATATACAAAATGCCCAAGTATCTTGAAATAACATCTAGCCTAAAGTGTAGGAAGTTGTTATTTCCCAGTCAGTATTTGTTTCCAGTCTCCTTAGAGACTTTATCTTGTGAAGCACAGCAAACACTTGGTTATCCATGAACTGTATCTGTAGCAGTTACAACAGTGAGTCAAGTATCCCGATTCCTTTTTAGTGTAGTAGTTTATTTCCTTCATTACAACAAACTCTGGGCTCTCATCGTACAAAATTTGGAGGAAAGATATTATGTAGTGTAATTTTTAAGCTTTCAAAGGATTCAAAAACAAATTAAGCCAAATTAACTAAATAAACTAAATAAACCAAATAAACTAAAACTGTTTAAGGGTAAATATATAGGAAATAGTCCTATGAATTAGAATAGAAAGAGGTTATGTAAACTGTGCATGTTGAGTTATTTTCTTAGAAATATTCATTATGTAAATATTGTAGTAATGGTGCATCAGGTTTTGAGATAAGGAAGAAAGACATATTGAAAGGTGAAAGAAATCTGCTGTCCCACCTCCATCTCAAGACCTGCTGTATTTTCCTACACTCTTACATAGGAACAGTGACAGAATCAGAGCAATGGGAGCGTGTTTTCCGCTTGTCAGCAAAGGTAGATCAGGCCTGCATGACCTCAGCTTGCAGGGTGATAGCTACGAGGGTTTGAATAGCCCCACAGAAAAGTCCAGCGTGACCCACTGCTGACACATGCGAATCTTTGGGCCTGAACACAGAGAGCATCCTGTTTCACTCTCCGATGTAACCCTGAGCATGGTGGGCTCCTAGCATTAGCAAAGAAGATTAGACTTGCTTGAGGACAAGCTGACGCTGCTTTCAGATGCAGTGTGGAGTACCATTTGATGATGAGCCAAGGTACTGTAGAATGTTATTCATCTCCTTCCTTCTCTGCCACCTGTTTGGAAATCTCGTGAATCAATACCCTAAAAGAGTTTCGTTTCAATGCTTATATTGAGCTAATTATAACTCTATT